AGTCAACCATTATCATTTATAGCAAATAAACATTTAATGTTAAAATGAGAAGACAAATCATGTAAATCAAACATATATACATTCTCATATCTATAACCTACAAATAAATTTTTTTTTTCTAGGGTGTTCTCAATAGTGCAACGAGTTTTCTCAAAAATAACTCTATATTCTTTATCACATAATTGACTAATGCTAAGCAAGTTATATTTTAAACCTTCAACAAGTAAAACATTTTCAATAATAGGAGAAGGATTTTTACCGATACTACTTACATCTATGATTTTACCCTTACTATTGTTGCCGAAAGTCACATATCTTCTATCCTTTGGTTGAAGTGTGGCAAACATAACTTTATTTCCGGTCATGTGCCTCGAACATGCACTGTCGAGATACCATCTGTCGTTACTAGATTTTGTCTTGAAACATACCTACAAAAATTTGATTTTTCTATTGGTACCCATATTTTCTTGGGTTTATAAAAGTTAGAATTTGACACTCTTGAAATGTTCTTAGGAACCCACATCTTTTTTATTTTAGCAAAATGATTTCTTTTAACAGGATATGAAGGTGAAATATGACCTTTTGTATCACAAAAATGACATGTGAGATGAGAGTGATTAGAAAATGCATGCACAAAACCATTTTTGACAGTTTTTACTTTTGAAAAAGGTTTATATCTAATTCCAGCTCTACCAAAAGTACGATTTTGATTTTTAAGAATTTTATTTAAAGTCTCTCTATCTTGAGTGAATTTGGAAAGAGTATTTTTCAAGTCTTCGATATGTTCTTTCAAAACAATTTGCTCATTTTTTAAAGACTCATTTTCTTCTTGCAATACAACTAATGTTTTTTCAAAAATTGAAGACTCTTTTCGAGTTAAAATATCATTTTCCATTTTCATTTTCATGGTTTCATTTTCTAAATCATTTATTTTGGAAATTGAGGATTCATTTTCTTTTGATAAACTTGAAATCACTTTCTTTTGACAGTTACTTTTCAACCTAAGCTTCATAAATTCAGCATGTAATTCATCACAAGCTGATTGTAATTCATTAAACGTAGAAGATTCGTTATTTACCTCATCTTCGTTTCCAAGTGCCATTAAGCATAGGTTAGCAATCTCATTTTTGCAAACTTCGATTTCTGAGCCGCTTTCATCACTATCTTCTCCCCATGCTGTAATCATGGCTTTCTTCTTGTCCTTCTTGAATTGTTTCTTAACTTCCGGACATTCTGATTTATAGTGTCCAGGGCTATTGCATTCGTAGCAGGTAACTTCAAATTTTTTGTGATTTTCTCCTTTTTGAAAATCCCTATTATTGAAATCTTTTCTGAAAATTTGTCACACACCTTTTTTTTTTTTTCACAAACCTTTTGAACTTCCTAGTGATGAATGCCATTTCCTCATAATCATCCGAATCATCTTCCTCATTCTCTTGATGTTTCAAGGTGGATATGAAGGCTATTCTTTTCTTCTTGTTGTTGTCCTCCGCTTCTTTTTCCTTCGTGCATTATGAGCTCATGAGTTAAGAGAGATCTCATTAACTCATCTAGACTTAGCTTTGATAAATCCTTGGCGTCGATAATGGCAATGACTTTTGTCTCCCAACTTTTTGGCAATGACCTAAGCACTTTTCTTACAATTTCAGCATTAGTATATATTTTGCCAAGAGAAGTTAAATTATTAATAATATTAGTAAAGCGAGTAAACATTTGAGGAATAGTTTCATCAGGCATCATTTTAAAGAGTTCATAATTATGGACTAGCAAACTGACTCTAGATTTTTTAACTTGTTCGTTTCCTCATGAGTCACTATAAGTTTATCCCAAATTTCTTTTGCTATTTTACATGTGGAAATTCTGTTGAATTCGTTGGCATCTAAGGCGCAGTACAACATGTTCGTGGCTTTGATATTAATTTGGGTCATTCTAGTATCTGATTTATTCCACTCATCTTCAGGTTTGGATACCCTAAGTCCATCTACGATTTTGGTAGGAATTTTTGGACCATTGCAAATAATTTTCCAGCATTCATAATCATTAGATTGAACATGTACGGTCATCCTAGTTTTCTACTAGCTAAAATTTGTGCCGCTAAATAGTGGTGGCCTATTGGATGCTTGTTCCTTAGGTAAGGAATAACTAGGGATCGCCATGATCTACTCTAAGACGGTTAAGTCACACAAACTAGAGTTTAAGCTCTAATATCAATTGTTATCCCAGGTAGGCAACCCAAGAGGGGGGTGAATAGGGTTATTTAAAAAATTTACAATATTAAAATTTATAACACACAATATTTAGAATACAAATAAAAAAACAGAATAACAATTATCAATATGAAAAATAAGAGAGATAGGAAGAGAAAATCAAACACTGAGATTTATAGTGGTTCGGCACGCCAGACCTACGTCCACTTCCCAAGGAACCTCCTTGAAAATTTTTTTACTATCAAAATAAATTAATACACCACCAAGTATTCACCAAGCTTGTGGATTTTGCACAAGACTTACTCTTATCTATTGAGCCTTACTCAACAATAAATGCATCACCCTTACAAAAATCTCTCACAAAACTAATGAGTAAAAATAAGTAGTAGTTAAACCCTCTTTTACAATAATTCTCTCACAAAGAGTAGATATAACAGTGTAGGAACAAAGGCTACTCTTATATCTGAAAGTGAAAGAGCAGAATACAATATACTCAAAACTTTTGAAGCACATAGAAATTTTTCTCTTCAAGTTCTTGATTTTTCTCCACACACAACACTTCTATTTATACCCAAAAATATACCCGTTTGAAGTAAGGCGCTTCTTGCTGACGTCATGGCTTACATAGGCACGCTCCTTGATTTTAAATAGTCAACAAATGTTAATAATTAAAAAGATAAAAGTAAGACTAATTTTTTCTTTTTCTTTTTTGTTTTTTCAAACATGGAGCCATCGTTTTTGTAGACAATTTGATACAAAACTCACAACTTTCAAACAAGCAAATGATTTTCTCCATCTTATTTTATTATAATATTAAGGGTGAGCTACCCGGCGGTGTGTGGCCGGAAAAACCCTCTGATGGTCAAGTTAGCACACACCTTAGAGGGAATAGAGAGAAGGGAGAGAGTGTTTGAGTGTAAGAAATTCCATACAGAGTGTTCATGTGTTGCGTATGGGGGGCGCAGACATGCTTATATACCTTCTGAGCCCCATATCCACTCCCAGTCATCTCCTGACGCGTGGCTCTGCTATCCCATCTGTCAGCATAAACCATGCCATTCATCACCTAATCTCAACTGCCTGTCAGCACAGCTAGAGCACGGCAGCCGAGCTGCCCTACCTCGGTCGTACCATGCGTCAAACCCATGCGCTTAGTCGGACAAACACATGAAGGACCGGGCTAGACGGCATCTCGGCAAAGCCTAGCCCGGGCACCTCCTTTGGTTGGCCTTCTTGCGGTCAATCTACTACCTCGGCTGACCGCGCCTTTCCGGGCGTCGGTCTCTCGGTCTGTCTGGTTTCGACCTTCCTCGGACCGAACATCCTGATCTGATCGGTCACTTCCTGGCCGAGCGATTTCTGTACGGTCCGGGTTGGTACACACTCAGTCCAACTCTGCCCGGCCCAAGTTCTGGCAGCCCATTTTCGGGCGGAGAGTTGATCAGCTCGGCCCCATACACCGTTGGGCCCTCAACCTGCTCGGCCATCACCTCAGCCCAACTCCAGATCATAAATTACCCTCTCAATTGCCCCTTAATTCCGTCCGCGAAAGCGTGACTGGGATTACTTACTTCGTCCGAGATGACGTTTCCCCGGTTCCCATGATGCCAAGCCTCGACCGAGCTAGTTGACGTAATTGTCTGCAGATTTGGCCGGTTATATTCCTCGGCTGACCTATTCTCGTCGAATGTAGCTCGGTTGGCTCTTCGTCTTTTCAACCCGTCGCTTCAGTCCTGTCAAAGCCATAAATGGGGACACGTGGCGGTCTGCCATTGGTCATCGGGCAGCCAACCCGCCGTTTTTGCCAGAATTTGAATTTGGGCGGTTTTCTTTGCTTATACATACATGCCCTGCTCGAACTCCAAATCCTCCTACTGCCATTTCGACATTCGATCCCAGAGCTCTTGCATCCTCATCCAGACTCGCTGCCATTCTTCGTGCTTGAAGGACCAGGTCCTACTCTTCACTGGTAAGTCATTCCACCCTCATTTTGTTGTTATTTTCTCTCGTATTGCACATATTAGGGCACAAAAACGTACCATTTAGGGCAAAGGCCATAGAATCTGTCCCAAACCCCCCACTGTTCTTGGTGTTCTTCGTCTTCCTGAAGAACGCCGAAGATCTGGGGTGAACCGGGCTCTGGGGTTTCTTTCGATCCAAAAAACCAACCAAACCGGGCAAACAACATGTTTGTTTCAACCCCAGCGAAAACCGAGATAACCAAAGGACTAGGTCGCTCGACCGGGCTAACATCAGGTCTGCTTGGGCGACCGAGCTCCTTAATTAGACAACCGAGGTGGTTTGGCACCCTTACTGACCGAGCTGAAGTCTAGCTCCTTTTGCGAAACCACGCTCACTTACACTTGCCATCCTTTTCCTGCAGAGTCCAAGGGGACCATTGTCATTCCTGAACCTCTCAGGACCGAGCTGCAGCAATTTATCACCGTGCCCATCCCTTCAACCGGGCTACAGTAAGTCGGCCATAAATGGGGAAATTCCGCTTCCTAGTGGATACTCCGGCCGCGCTAGCCGCTTTCAGAGAGGAGTACGGTGTACCGGCCGACGTCCATCTCGAGCTGGCCGAAGAAGAGACCACGCCTTGGGGTAGGGAGGAATGCCCCTTCACCGTGCTGTCCATTGTCGAAGGGGGACTTCGTTTCCCACTTAATCCACTTATTACCGAGTTCTTGCGCCGAACCGGGCTAGCACCAACCCAAGTGTTTCATGAACTAAACAACCGGTTAGGCATTAGTCTAGGTCTAGCCGAGATCCTACGCCAATATACCATGGGCCACACCGGCGACGGTCTCGCCTATTACCTCAAGATTAGACCGGGCAGAGAGAAAATCGTGACCGGCACACCAGACAAGGATCTTCACGACGATGATTTCTTCTGGGTGTCTGGTAACTACGAGACAGCCGAGGTACCGGGCTGGATGATTAGCAAAAATTTTGGGAGCACATGTAAGCCGTGCAAATTATCTCGGTTTTTACACTTGATGTTTCTGTAGACTAATGATTCTCTTGTTTCTTTTGCAGCCATCCAAGCCTTGCAAGCCAACTACAACTTCCCCAACGTAGAAGCGATCAGGACCGCGCTTCGCTACCGCGACCGAGATTGTAACCAACTCCTCGGCTACAGTCCCACATATAGATACTCTGCTCCCCGCCGGAGTAAGGTCACCGACTTCCTCCGAGCTCCAACTCCTCCACCGGATCCTACTCTGCCAGACGTGCCCCTCGTTCGCCTGACCGAAGAACAAGAGATGGCCAAGCGCAGCAGAATCAAGAACTTGCTCACCGCCACATCCGCCGAGCTGCCGAGCGTTTCAACTCGCTCACCCGTCGCCGGTCAATCCAGTGGCGCTGTGGTCGCCCTTGCCTCTCAACCGACCGGCCAATCCAGCCGAGAACCTTCTGCACGGCGGGCCGGGAAAAGGGCTCGGGCAGACCCATCTTCCGAGTTAGTCGCCGAGCTAACTACCGAGCATCCGACTGACGCCCCCGCCCCAGTACCGGCCTGGCGTCCACAGTTGAAACACCGGGGTCAGGACATCCCGGCAACTGCCTCGATCAAGGCTGACAAAGAGCATCTGCTCGCCTTTGATCTGTCCAAAGCATTCCTACTACCGAGCGACGTGGTCGGCAGTGACCACGTCCCTGACACTCGGTTGGTCAAGTCATCCGTGAAGTCCATGGCCAGGGTAAGTCAATGCAGCTCTTAAAATTTTTCCAAGTGTTTGCCCGGTTTCGTTTCTAATCAACTTTGTTTCTTTTTGCAGGCCATTCAAAAACAACATCTGGTTTTGGAGCGCATCCACCGGCTCAGGCAGAAAGCCAACGACACGGCCAGCCAGGTCAAGAGCCTTCAAGCCGAGCTCGGCCGGGCTAAGGCTTCACTTGAGATGGCCAACACTGATAATAACAGGCTGCTCGGTCAGCTGAATGCAGCCGAGAAAAAACAAAGTGAGCTCCAGGCCGAGGTTGACACTTTGAAGAAGGCGAAGAGGAAGGCTTGCCGGGATGCCAACAACGCCGGGTTCAACGAGGCCGAGCAGAGCTACAAGAAGCAGGTCTTTGCAACACAAGACATCTACTTCAAGGCCGGTTGGAAGTCCGCCTGCGAACACCTCGGCCAAGGCTCCGACACTGACGTATTTGCCAACCCTCCCCCAGCTTCTCTACCGGTCTGCCTTGTGCCTTACGCAAATGACGTATTCAGCGCTCTGCAAGCGGAGGCCGAGGAGGGACTTGAAGATGGAGAGGACAACACAGATTCGGAGGCAGAGGAGGCCGAGGTGCCAGAACAGCTCGGCAGTGCTGAGCCCGGTGCCCAAGAAGTCAGCCCTACCGTCAACCTCGATGCCGGCGAAGACGAGTTCACCAATCTCTCCCCATTAGTTTAGTGTTCTTTTTCCTTGTTTTTGTATTTTTGCTTCCAACTCTTTTAATGTAACCGGGCTCTGTCCCCTCCGTTTGTAATGAATTTCTTATCAATGAAAATTTCAAATTTTTGCCAAGTGTTTGCACGGCTGTAATCAGTTCTGTCTTCAGCAAGACATCTCGGTATAACTCATAGCTTGAACACTTTGTCGACCGGAATACATAACACGGTCGAAGCACTTCAGCAGAACAAGACAAATACATGAACCGAAATAACCACCTTGGTTGTAACACAATCGGACAAATCAACACTTCCAACCGGGGTATAACATCTCGGTTGGGTATCCTATGTTGGACAAAACGCCAAGTCTTCCAACCGGAGTACATCATCTCGGTTGGGGATCCGAAGTTGGACAAAACACAAACTCTTCCAACCGGAGTACATCATCTCGGTTGGGGATCCTAAGTTGGACAAAACACCAACCCTTCCAACCGGATTACATCATCTCGGTTGAGGATCCTAAGTTGGACAAAACACCAACTCTTCCAACCGGAGTACATCATCTCGGATGGGAATCCTAAGTTGGACAAAACACCAACTCTTCCAACCGGAGTACAACATCTCGGTTGGGAATCCTAAGTTGGACAAAACACCAACTCTTCCAACCGGAGTACAACATCTCGGTTGGGAATCCTAAGTTGGACAAAACACCAACTCTTCCAACCGGAGTACAACATCTCGGTTGGGAATCCTAAGTTGGACAAAACACCAACTCTTCCAACCGGAGTACAACATCTCGGTTGGGAATCCTAAGTTGGACAAAACACCAACTCTTCCAACCGGAGTACAACATCTCGGTTGGGAATCCTAAGTTGGACAAAACACCAACTCTTCCAACCGGAGTACAACATCTCGGTTGGGAATCCTAAGTTGGACAAAACACCAACTCTTCCAACCGGAGTACAACATCTCGGTTGGGAATCCTAAGTTGGACAAAACACCAACTCTTCCAACCGGAGTACAACATCTCGGTTGGGAATCCTAAGTTGGACAAAACACCAACTCTTCCAACCGGAGTACAACATCTCGGTTGGGAATCCTAAGTTGGACAAAACACCAACTTCTCGGCATTTAGCTCGGGCTCAAAGCTCTCGGTTCTGAGGGTGGGCATTTGAACTTCCAAGGGTATGACCGCCTCCATACCGTAAGCCAAAGCAAATGGAGTTTCCCCGGTCGAACGTCGTGGGGTTGTTCGGTATGCCCAAAGGACACTAGGTAATTCTTCAGCCCACTTGCCCTTAGCCTTTTCCAACCGTTTTTCAACCCATCCAGTATAGTCTTGTTTGATGCTTCGGCTTGACCATTGGACTGCGAGTAGGCCGGGGTGGAGTTGTAGAATTCTATCTTCAGATCTTCACAAAATCCTCTGAATAGGTGACCGTCAAACTGGGTGCCGTTGTCAGAGATCAAAATCTTGGGGACGCCAAACCGCGTGACCACGTTCTGCCAGACAAATCGCTTCACGTCTTTCTCTTTGATGGTTGCCAAGGGCTCAGCTTCAACCCACTTTGTGAAGTAATCTGTGGCTGCGATGAAGAATTTCCGGTTGCCCGGTGCTGTCGGCAATGGTCCCACCATATCTAGCCCCCACATGGCGAAAGGCCAAGGACTGGTGAGGGGAAGAAGTTCTCTGGCAGGCTGGTGGATCTGATGGGCGAATTTCTGGCATTTTTCGCACTTGCGGACATATTTTTGCGCATCGGCCTGCATGCACAGCCACCAGTATCCCTGCGAAATAGCTCGGTAGGCCAAGGACCTGCCCCCGATGTGGCTGCCACAAATGCCTTCATGAATTTCATACAAGAAGGCCTCCACACTATTTGGGTGCACGCATTTGAGATAAGGACCGGTGAAGGACTTCTTATACAACGCGCCAGATGGAGAGAGCCAAAACCGCTCTGACTTCACCCGGATTTTGTGTGCTTCTTTCTTGTCTGTTGGAAGAGTCCGGTCTCTGAGGAACAAGATCAAGGGGTCCATCCATGAAGGACCTAGCTCGGCGCAGAGTACGTCCGTCTGCCCGGCGTTTTCAATGCTCGGCCGCGGAAGAAAGTCAATCAACAGGGGGTTTGGAGACGTACTATCTACCATGGAAGCGAGGCCGGCGAGTTCGTCAGCCCGGCTGTTTTCTTCCCGGCCAATCCGTTGAACTCTGATTGCCTCAAACTGCTTGATATGGTCCCTGACCAGAGCTTGGTACTTCGCCATCCTATCGTCCTTCGCTTCATAAATCCCTGAAACTTGGTTAACCACAAGCTGGTAATCACTGTATACCAGGAGCTCGGCAGCCTTCATTTGAATTGCGCTCTTGAGCCCGGCGAGAAGCGCCTCGTACTCAGCCTCGTTGTTAGACGCCGGGAAGCCAAGTGTGATAGAATGCTCAATGGTTAGGCCGTCCGGGGATATAAGAACAATACCTAGGCCGGCACCATGGCGGTTGGACGCTCCATCAACAAAAAGCTTCCACATGTCCCCCACAAAAAGCTTCCAGCAGTCAGATGGGTCCTGAGAGTTACGAAGGGCAATGAGATCACAACTGCTCGGCTGTGCGGTGTCAAGTTTGGTGTTGACCGGTTCAAATTCAGTGCCCCTTGGTGATTCGACACCGGACTCAGCAAGTTTGTCTGGTGCTAAAGCAAAATTACTTCTATAATTTGACAAAAAGAATTACATTCTGCTTTGCAAGCCAAAAAATTTCTTTACAAAAAGAGGAAAGTAAAAAGC